AAGTCAAGAACACAGATATATACAGACAGTTAGTAAATAAGATAATGCTGGAAGAAAGACAGACAAATAAGGCAAAAGGTAGAATGGAAATGAAACACGAACACGAAAATATACTATGATTAATAAGAATTTTAGAAAATGGACACAGTGAAATGAAGAAAAGCCCACTAGAGTTAGTACGAACTTTTGAACACAAACACATGAAAATAGGATAGAACACAGACCGCAAGTTCATAGGGATTTTGGAACACAGATTTAGAAAAAATAAGGCAGAAAACAGACTAAAAGTTAACAAGAACTTTGCACTAAAGACACAGAAAATTAAGGTAGAAAACAGGCCGAACGCTAGAAAGAAATTTGGAACACAGAAAAGAAGCCAGGCGGAAAGGCCAAAAGAACGCCACTAGAGGGACAAGATCCTCTCGTGCGAAGCTTTCACCCTACCTTTTCTTGAGGTAATTAATGGAAAGCCTGATGATGGCGAGGGTGAGGATGAGCGTGAGGACCCAGCCGAAGAGGACGCTGTACAGGTAGACGACGAGGGCGAGGAGCGTGGCCGAGGTCGACTCCCAGTGCAGGAGGGACGTCACGACGGCCAGGCATTCCGTGAGAGGCCGCATCACACACCCGAACCTCAAGATGTTCTCCTTCAACCTGAAACACACGTTGAGGTTGTAACATGGACACGGAAAATAACAAAGGAAATGCAACTTCGCAAACAGGAAACAGAACAAAGAATAAATTTCATACACGGAAACCAGCCTAGGAAATACACGGGAGAAAGCACAGGGAATAAACTTTATACAAGGAAGTCAACACAAGAAACAAACTTCTTGGACAAAACAAAACAAAAACAAACAAACAAAAAACAGAAAATAAACTCAGCGAAAACTAAAATGAAAAAGGACAAAGAAATTTGGAACACGAACAGACTTGAGCGAGGGGCGCATTACATCCCTGGATCTCAGGGTGTTCTCCTTCAACCTGTCAGGAAAGTGACGTTATTGGAGGTGACTCCTGACGTCACTGGATGAGGTGCAAGGGCGAGGGAAAATTATAGTGGAATAATGGAAAATGGCAACGTGCATGTTTTATAGAAAAGATTTGAGATGTAAGCTCTGGAAACTAAAGACAGTTTTCTAAATGTGGAGGAAATAGCACAGCCGATCATTAATTATGTTCTTTACAAGTATGACTACTTTTGTTCCAAGACGTATTTATATTTATATCCATGATCCAACTGATAAATCTTATATATTTAAATGTATACATATAAAACACACATGTGTGTGTGAGTGTGAATCTACATTATATATGTGTATATATGTGTGTGTATGTATATATATATATATATATATATATATATATATATATATATATATATATATATATATATATATATGTATATATATGTATATATATATATACATATATATATATATATATATATATATATATATATATATATATATATATATATGTGTGAGTGTGTGTGTATATATGTATGTGTGTGTGTGTGTGTGTGTGTGTGTGTGTGTGTGTGTGTGTGTGTGTGTGTGTGTGTGTGTGTGTGTGTGTGTGTGTGTGTGTGTTTGTGTGTTAGTGTGTGTGTGAGTGTGTGTACATATATATGTATATGTATACATATATACATATATATATATATATATATATATATATATATATATATATGTATATATATGTACATATATATATATATATATATATATATATATATATATATATATATGTACATATATATACATATATATATATATATATATATATATATATATATATATATATATATATATATGTACATATATATATATATATAAATATATATATGTATATTTATGTATATATATATATATATATATATATATATATATATATATATATATATATATTAACCCATTGCCGCCGGGGAAAATGAACAAAAAATGAGGAAAATGCTGTGCCTATTTTCTACACTTTTTTGGTAAATGTCTGCCCATAGATGGCTCTGTTAGCGCCTGATTTGAAATGGCGGGAAAAACGTATTTTTCACTAGTGCCATGAACATCGATGGTGTTATTTTTATTATGAACATTATAATCTTTATAATGTTTTTTTAACATTAGTAACAGCAAAATAAGATAACGTAAAATATTTCGTAAATCAAAGAAAAGACTGAACGGGCGAGACAGACGGTACTCGTAACTGGCTCATTGGTGATTTAGTACAAGTGTAGCCATCTATGTGTGAAAACAATCCAACAAGTAATCTCACAATAGCCATGGCATGGCATGCCCGGCGGGAATGGGTTAACGCCGGAATACACACACACACACAGATTTGTATATATGTATATATGTATATATATATATATATATATATATATATATATATATATATATATATATATATAAATGTATACATAATCATATATATATACATATATGTATATATATATATATATATATATATATATATATATATATATATATATATATATATATATATATATATGTATATACATATATATATATATATATATATATATATATATATATATATATATATATATATATATATATAAATGTATACATAATCATATATATATATATGTGTATATATAGATAGATAGATAGATAGATACATACATACATACATATATATATATACAAACATATATATATATATATATATATATATATATATATATATATATATATATATATATATACATATATATATGTATATGTATATATTTTTATATATATATATATATATATATATATATATATATATATATATATATATATATGTATGTATATATATATATATATATATATATATATATATATATATATATATATATATATATATGTATGTATATATATATATATATATATATATATATATATATATATATATATATATATATATATATACATATATATATACATATAAACACACACACAGATATACATATATGTACATATACATACACAAACACATTCACATGTGTGTGTGTGTGTGTGTGTGTGTGTTGTGTGTGTGTGTGTGTGTGTGTGTGTGTGTGTGTGTGTGTGTGTGTGTGTGTGTGTGTGTGTGTGTGTGTGTGTGTGTGTGTGTGTGTGTGTGTGTGTGTGTGTATTCTTCTGTCTATCTATTTATTAATAAATTAATTTATTTGTTTGTCTGTGTGTGCATAAGTATGCGTGTTTTAATCGTATACAGTACAAATGCAATGTATATCATAGGTTATCTTAGCAACATGAATCAAGTGAATTTAAAATTATTCATAGAAAAAATGGCTTCATTAAGGCGTTCAGGCGGCTTGCCATGCAATGCACAATCGCAACATCAGCAGGCGGAAAGGTGCGGTCATGTCCACAACACGTCCTGATCAATACCTAGACACCCAAACCTTTCTCTCTCTCTCTCTCTCTCTCTCTCTCTCTCTCTCTCTCTCTCTCTCTCTCTCTCTCTCTCTCTCTCTCTCTCTCTCTCTCTCTCTCTCTCTCTCTCTCTCTCGCTCTCTCTCTCTCTCTCTCTCGCTCTCTCTCTCTCTCAGCCACTCTCTGTGCCATCCTTAATTGAATTCTCGTTTGGGGGAAGTGAAAGAGGAAAACTCTGCTTTGTCAGGGGACACTTAAATCACATAAGTCGCACACAGAGAGGGAGAGAGGGAGAGAAAGAGAGAGAAAGAGAAAGAAAGAAAGAGGGAGAGAGGAAGAGAAAGAAAAAGAGAGAAAGAGTGACAGAGAGAGAGAGAGAGAAAGAAAGAGTGAGAGAGAAATAAAGAGAGAGAGAGAAAGAGAAAGAGTGACAGAGAGAGAGAGAGAGAAAGAAAGAGTGAGAGAGAAATAAAGAGAGAGAGAGAAAGAGAAAGAGAGAGAGAGAGAGAGAGAGAGAGAGAGAGAGAGAGAGAGAGAGAGAGAGAGAGAGAGAGAGAGAGAGAGAGAGAGACAGACAGACAGACAGAGAGAGAGAGAGAGAGATGTATATTCGTCTATAAAAAATGGAGAAGGAAACAAAGACATGTTGAGCTTACCATTTTTTTGTTGTCTGATCAAAGCTTTTTATTTATTATTTTTTCTTTATTGTGGATATCATTGCTTATACTCCGATCCATTATGATGCCTTCTTACCACCGGCCTTATTCCAAAAATGTTTTGCCCTTGTATTTTTGGGTGCATCTTGGTCCCGAAAAATTACACGTAAAAGTCGGACCCATTTATTTTTCTCTTAAGCTGTGTAGGTAAATGGACTCTCGTGCCCTTATCTTTGTTTCCCTTAAGCCTCGTCGCCAACCAGAGAACAGGCCCCTTACTTTTTGACGGTGAGCGGGTCGCCCTCAGGATCTCCGTCAGGCAGCTCCTCCTCCGCCACCTCCGAGAAGTCCTTGATGAGCTCTGACACCGCCGCCATCAGCCGCACCTCCAGCCGCTTCCACCAGGGGTCGAGGGGCGTCACCACGACCGGCCCCCCTGCGCTTCCGAGGGGCGTCTGCAGGCCTGAGTCGGTCCCTGCTGCGCCTGCTTCGCTCATGAGGATCGCTGAGCACAGAGTAGTGAGTGGGCTTTACTCTCCTGCTCCTTATTCAAAAGTCAGTGTTATTACTTCTAGAACACAAGTATATAATGAATTTATGTATTTGTAACGTAAATACGAATACTTAAAATATGAAGCAATACTGAAAAATCATACTAAAGAATATATCTGTACATATTTGAATAATGCTACGTTAAGATAAAGCAAAATGGATACTTTAAGATTAAGATTTTAAAGATAAGGACTGATACCTAAGATTAAGACAAAAATGAATATCGAAACAAAAATAGAAATATATATATATATATATATATATATATATATATACATATATATATATATATATATATATATATATATATATATATATATATATATATATATATATATATATATATATGTGTGTATACACACACACATATATATATATATATATATATATATATATAGAGAGAGAG